TTTTTTGATGATGTGTAATGTTTCCACTAGATTGCTCATGTACTAACATGGGCCACTTGTTCTCCCGTTATGGCCCTGTCGCTATTGACACCGCGACAGTTTCCACTTCATCCTGTTACGGTGCAGTATGCTGTACGAGTTCTGCGATCCTACCCGGCTGACACTCTGTTGATGTACATACCACAACTGGTACAAGCGGTTAGGCATGACAATGTGAGCTTGTGGATTGTGCGACGTTTTCGCTGTCTGGATGAGAGATGCAAAATTAGTAAAATTTTAGATCGGTTATGTAGCCGAACTAATAGTTTGGCTAGCCGGACATTCACAACTCCTCGCCCATCAACTTACGTGGAACATGGAGACGAATATGTACACGGATGAAGATGGCAAAAATAAGGATCCTGTCTTATATGATGCCCTCAATGATATCAAGAAAAAGGTGAGAGATGCCGTTTTGAGTAACGGACTCAACAATCGATTATTCAGATTGCAAACCAGGTGGAAGGAGCCGCTAGGCGGTTCTACGAGGCAGAGTTCTCACTTTTCCATCAGCTGACAGGAATATCCGGAACGATAAAGCCTTATGCTAAAGGAGAAGCCAGGAAAAAAGCTTGTTTGAAAGCATTGGCTGAGGTGTAGATGTATAAATTGCCTAGCGGGAGCTGGATCTGCAATTTCCCCTTTAGGTTAAATTAGAGACCATCACCTACCTCCCATCGAATCCTGAAGCCATTTTACTAGAAATAGATTATTCTAGTGGAAATCCTATGCAGAGGTGTGTTCATAAACTGCGGCGTTACTCCTTTTGCTATCAAGACCAGCACAATCACACCTAATTTTTCTAAATCCACAAATGTTTTTTTTGCAGTGCAGCAAAAGCTCCCTATCTGGCAAGATTCAAAGTGAAACAATGTGGAGTTCAAGAATTGGAAAGAATAGGCTTGGAGGTGATCTTCTTACGAGAAATCTCTCTTTGTTTCTGAAAAAGCCAATTGCTGCAGGCTCAGTCTCGTGAAAAAGGCAAATCACCACCACCTGAAGCCGATTTGAACGAATTGAGAAGAGCTGGTGGGCCTAATATTTGTTGGCAAGCTGCTATATTCAAGGTATCTGTCTTTCATTCTTGACTCGGTATATCTACATTCATATGTTTCGAGGTCGGTGATGATGTTCGGCAAGATATGTTGGCACTCCAGTTGATGCAGCTGATGAAAAATGTCTGGGCTGGTGTTGGACTTCCGGTTTGCGTGTTTCCATACAGGTTAGGTTT